TCTTGAAAACAAACGTATCCATAGAAGGGGAAGTAAAATATTTACTTTAGGTTATCATGTCAAAATATTCCTCGAAATGAAAATATCATATTATATCCAATATAAGTATGTATTTTATTGTATACAGAGTTATACATAACAAATCAAAATATTGAATGTATATAGCTCATTAATGTGTTTGTTTCAGTCTCTCTCTCTCTCTCTCTCTCTCTCTCTCTCTCTCTCTCTCTCTCTCATATGGGTTGGTTTTTCTTATACTTTCAGACAGAATTTGAAGCATCAGGTTCATCATAAACAGGGAAACCCTTGTTGCAGCCAGCTGTTTATACCTGACGTACGTACCAACGGTTTACGGAGTAACCTTTTTTTTCAACAGCTGAGCAAACAATATTTCGAAGTAAAAATTCCATACAAAGAATAATTTTTTTTCTGCACTAATGCTGATTTCTTTTCTTTCCATATAATTATCATTTTTTTCATCGCTTCCCTCCTTGCTATTGAGGAAATAATATCAATTCACAGAAATAAATGAAATTATAGACATCTTGTGTAAGAGATTCAGGCATGTGGCCATTTGTACAATGGAAAAATTAAAGTACGAACATTTTGAGGAAGTCGCAAACCCATGCTATATAGAAACCATTGAAATGCCTTTTTAAATTCCAAATAAAATCCTCCGTCTTGCCTAAGAGACCTGGTACTACTTAAGTATGTCTTAAACCGTAACATAAAGCGAACTCAGGTAGGTCTTAGCTAAGTCAAACTTATGTTAAAATATTTCAGATGAGTCAACCTATGGTTTTTGATTTTATATAGATATATTACTAAAAGTGATTAAGTTATGGTTTTAGTTCATTACATATTGAAGTTGACGTCCTTGCCTATTGGTTTAAGTTATGTTAGATTAGATTTCCTATTAAAATTATGATAATGTTATGAATTAATCGGAATGTTTGAAAACAAATACAGCACGGTCAGAAAGTGGCGATTTGTGGTTCATTGTAAATGTACGACATTTGTTTTCTCACCTGAGATGTTTTCAGTTTACCTTTTGTAACTCTTTTGTTTTGACAAATGTTCACTTACCCTGTTATTATCGCAGACAAGAAAAGATAATCGACGTCTATCTACTTAAAATTGAAACTCTAAAGAGTTCAATACATGTTGAATCCCCGCTATGTATCAGGCCATGCATGTCAGAAGCAAAAACTGCAGAAGTTTTATGATATACTCATTTCCAATTTAATCAAGGATACCAAAAAAATCGGGATATTTTTTCGTATGTCTCCACTTATCAGCAATTCTCTCCCTCTCTCTCTCTCTCTCTCTCTCTCTCTCTCTCTCTCTCTCGTACAGTAGTGAGCCCTGTCTAATTCCGCACTTGTCGCGTTCTACATTTATTCTACTTTACATATACTTTTTATAATATTATTGTTACTGTCATCATCCTCTTTCTTTTCTGTTCTTAACAAATTATTTCAACTCATTTTTCAAAGTGAACATACAGATCCGTGGTTTATTACTGTGTTCAATTTATTTCTATAACCGAGGTCCCACTAATTTCAGGCGTATCCCTAAAATTAAATTTTGTATTTACATGTATGCTGTATTGGGAGTGATATTGGAATCAGTGATCAGCCCCCCCCCCCCCCCCCCCCCAACGGAAAAATAAAATTCTTAAATCAGCGCCAAATAGAGATAATTATTTTCTTTAATGCATGATATGAATAGAGGAATATTTTAACATCGAAAGTCAACATTAAATAATTCTAAATATATGTACAAGAAAGCAAAGATACACTTAAGTCACCTCTACCGGCCGCCTAAGTTTTGCTAAGATTTCCAAATCTTATGTTACGACCCCCCAGGTCGTTGGTCATTTGCAAAACTATTTTATAAAAACTTATTCTGACTGCACACACAAGAACTCTGAAGTTGACATCAAAAAGATGCTCAAGTTTCTGATTGACAGTATCTGTGTGGTTTCTGGAGACCAGGTCTTCCAACAATCTATTGGAATTCCCATGGGTACCAATTGCAGTACGTTATAAGCAGACCTATTTTTGTATTCACAGGAAGCAGAATTTGTGCAAAATCTTATGCGTGAAAAGAAGAAATCACTTGTTGTGGTCTTCAACTCGACATTTAGATATATCGACGACGTGTGGTCAATTAACAATGGTAATTTCCTTTCCTACGTCGATACGATACATCCTGGAGAGCTTGAAATAAAAGATACCATAGAGTCTGACACATCTGTTTCATACTTGGATATTTTACTTGAAGAAGACGTTAATGGTAATCTTACAGCCAAGCTATATGATAAACTTATGCAGCAATATACTTTCATCACCTGCATACGGAATTTATATATCTCAGTTGATTTTATACGCAAGAACATGGTCTACGAACGAACAATTTCCAAAACGAGGTAAATTATTGACAAGCAAGTTGATGAGACACGAATATTAACAGTCTCGTTTAAAGTCATCATTTTGTCAGTTCTATGGTCTATACATTGACCTTGTCAGCAAATACAATTTATCATTAAGTGAAATGCTGGCTGACGTTTTTATAGCCCCCGCTTGAAAAGTGTGAGGGTATATAGTAATCGGTATTTCCGTCCGTCCGTCCGTCCGTCTGTTACGCTTTGGGGTACCCATCTCTTATCCGCAACTCCTCTCATACCACTGAAGGAAATTTAATGAAACTTTCACGGAATCTTCATTACATATTGCCATTGTGCACCTCCTATTTTAATTTTTGATCTGACATATATTTTGGATTTTCCAGAGCAAAACATGGACACTGCCATTATATTCATATGGGAGGCGGGGGGTATCATTTAGTGAGCTCATTACTCACAGTACCTCTAGTTCATTCTTAATGTTAGTCCATTATTTATACATTGAATTAACGACAGGTTTTTCCATTATTTCCCGATCATTACAAGGAGCACATGGCGGGTGTCACCTGTCAGCAGGGGATGCTCACTCCTCCATGGCACCTGACCTGATCCCATCTCTGAAGTTTCGGAGGTCCATGTTTGCTCAGCTCATATTTCATATTGTTTTATGGACTTTGAGATTGAACACTGTTCGTTATCTCTAGATCCTTCATCTATATACCAAGTATAACCCATGGAAGCAAATGGCTTATTATACCCCCCGCTTGAAAAGCGGGAGGGTATATAGTAATCGTTAATTCCGTCCGTCCGTCTGTTACACTTTGGGGTACCCATCTCTTATCCGAAACTCCTCTCATACTCCTGAATGAAATTTGGTGAAACTTTCACAGAATCTTTATTACATATTGCCATTGTGCACCTCCTATTTTACTTTTTGATCCGACGCATATTTTGGGTTTCTTATAGCAAAACATGGACACTGCGATTTATACACATATGGGAGGCGGGGGGTATCATTTAGTGAGCCCATTGCTCACAGTACCTCTAGTTTCCAATGGGGTCATTATACTCATACATGTAAATTTTGGATGTTAAGGATACATGTATACGCAAGGTACCTTAACTAATGAAAATTTTTCAACATATTCAAAATTCAAAAATTAACATTACCATCAACATGTTATTATGCAAAAAATCGATCGGCATGCGTTACCAGGGGTTTTGATATCAAATTATGAAAATTTTGCATTATTCATAGAAAAACATATAAAAATTAGGAAACATTAATTTGGGATTTTTTTCATCAAAATTTAGAAGAGTTGTACAAATCCATATATACAGTATACATTAACAGTATTGCACACAGGTCCTTCATTTAGCGGCACTCTTCAACCTTAGGGAAGAACCCAATAAAGTTCAAACTACGTTGCGTTTTACCTAAGATAAAATAAACGAAAAATATTAACATTATACCTTAGATGTGAAGTCAAGTTGACGAAGAGAGATCCTTAAAATGAATTGAAGTATGCATATATACCTAAAAGTCACATAATTATGACAATAAATAATAATAACAAAAAAACTAATAAAACACGAATTGACTTACACTGGAAAATTCCCTTATCTTTTAACAGAATTCTTGATATTTCTTTTAAAAGCAAACTTATTTCCAGTATTTAGTACAGTTTTAATTTTGCTGGTAACATGTTCTAGTCTTTGATTCCTTCAAAATTAAATAATTCAGATTGTTAATGCTTAATGAATGGCACAATGAAACCTCATTTGAGACTGATCTTGTATCATAATGAAAAAAATCTGACCGAATTAAAAAAAGGTTCAGTAAAATAAAAAGCGGTTTTTCGTTTTAAAAAATTAAAATCATGGTTGAGTCTGAGCTGAGAGGCTCTATCTTGAATATTCAATAATATTAGTTGATAAAGTATTTTGTAATTCACAGATGCCTGTAGACCTGAAATCAAAATAAATAAAACCATCTGATATTGACAAATTTGAAACATTTTTTAAACGTTTTGGATAGCCCTGCATACCAGGCGTAATCAATATGACATTTCTTAAAATAACATTTCTTGATTGAGTCACATAAAATATCAAAGAACACAAAGTATACAAGTTGTGGGCTCTAATCAGCTTGGAATCGCGTATTCCTTTTTATCGTGGTAATGTACGTACAGTAATATGCTTATTTATTTCGTTTTTCATGCACCATTGTCTGTTGCGAAGAAAAACAAACCAAAATACTAAGATAGACGCATTAATTATATAAAAGGATATCCTCTGTCAGCCTTGCATTATTCAATACTGAGTCTTGCTTCAGCATACTTCACTTAACTAAGGATGCTGACAATTCTTTCGCACCAGCGAGTAAAACACCGATCATTTAACCAATCACTTTTAAGAAAAAGAAGAAACATTCTATATTTAACCATGGGAGCTTAAACATCAGTTTGCAGATTTTAATAGGTAGACTGTGGACAGAGTAAAATAGTCGTAAGATATGAGTAGTAATTGGGTTATATTTTGGGGGGTTATCGTTTTGTTTGTAGTCTTCAACGGAGTGTGTCAGGCTTCAACTATGTCTGTGAGATACAAAGGAAAACCTGAATTTGATCATAAGAAAACAGATACGGAACTTTCAGGACAGTATGAAGTTGACTCGTTGATTGAGTGTGCTGCGATGTGTCAAAGCAACTGTGTCATCTTCGGATACAATCCTGAAATGATGAAGTGCCGTACCCACACGAAGATCTTCGCGAGTGGCATATCTGAGGAGACCGGCTGGAAATACTACTATGACTGTATGTATTTCTGTTACCTTTACTTTCTCTTTCAAGCAAATACCACAAACAACACATTTGCTTATATTTACATGTATTCAGCGAAACTCTTTATTCCATTTTTCTTCGGATCAGTGTTAATGGTTGTTTTTGTAAGAAATTGAAAATCGGTAGAATATTAATTCATTTTTTTTAGAAAATGAAAATCTGTTAAATATTAATTCAGTTTGATTTTTTGAGTGCAAACAAGTTCTATTGCAGAATCCTGCCTTGATTACTGATTTCTTTGTTAAATTATATGTGAAAGTCAAATTATTAAATCAAATTAATAATTTAGATAGACCTTATTTTGTGTTTCCAAATTTTTCTTCATACTTCTGAACGCAAACTTAGGTCAATTTTTTCTTCATATTGATGCGTATATCTTTTACACTAAAAGAAAAAAAACGGGGGGGGGGGGTACTCCCATATTATGTTCTTTGTTAAAGAGGTCTCACAAAATACTCTTCATTTTTCTTTCTAAAAGTTTATATATAATAAATATCAGTAACTTACCTCCTTTTTGGTGCAAACAAAGAAGTATCTTAATGTATTTCATAGAATTATGGCGTATGTACAATGAAAATTATTAGACTAAAATTATAAGAACTTATTATTTGTATCATTACTTTATATAAAGATAGAAATTTTCCCTAAATTACAAAATCTAAGTCAATTGCGTTATAAAGATATCAAAATTTAATTTGGATTCTCGGAATTTTCTCCGACTCGGAAGAAAATACAAAAGATTTAAATAACACATTACAGAGAAGATAAAATCGTATTATTAGTTGAAACGAGGTGTTCTACGTGTTCAGAATTGTATGAAAAGTTTTAATTTAAATGTATTAACTATATTTCTTTACTTAATTTTGTATTTTTCAAAAATATATTTTTTTGATCAGTTACGCCATATATGGCTTTAAATAATGTGTTTTCCTTTTTAATATAATTATTTTTTTTATTTCAAAAAGTGACATGTCAAGTTACATAATAAGATTTTTAGTCACATTCACACACACATTCACACTTCCCCTTTGATTTTAAACAAGAATAAAATATTAAATAAACAGTATTCCATTCAAGAAATATTTATAGTTGGTGTTTTAATAAATGTTTATAACTCAAAAATATTAATCCATGGTGACCATAGATTTTCAAAACTGTTCAATGTAAATTTTTGAATTGATATGCATTTTTCTACTTTGTACTTAAGAGTTAAATGATGTAGCAGCCCAGTAATCATAGGTATTTTGTTCTGCTTTAAACAAGAAAAAATATATTGCTTTGTATGTAAAATAATGAGAATTATCACCCTATTATGATAAGAAAATGGCGTTTCACCTAAAATAATATTCCATGTGTTAAACCCAACTCTTTTAGAAGTTTTTGTAAATATGTGCTTGCTAAGATTACTCCATAGTGAAGAATTTTTTGTACAATTGAAAAATATATGTTGTATTGTTTCTATATCCTGTTTACAAAAGGTAGAGTGATCATCAGATAAAATACTTATTTTCTTCAAATAATATTTCACTGGAAGGATTCTATGTAGGATTCTATACTGTAACCATTGAGCAGAAGTATCCATAGTTGTTCTAAAACAAACCTTAAAACATTTTGAACACAAATATCGGATTCTAAAAACACTGATAGTTCCTGGTTCCATCTAAATATTGATGTAGGAATGACATTGTTACTATTCAAATATCTATAAATTATTTTAGTGCACTTTTCATACACAATAATATTTTCAAAATAAAAAGGAATAAAAGGGGAACATTCCCTCTTAACAGATGATTAATCTATAGACATTGCTTTTAAAAACCTGGATATAGCACAGATAACACTGTTGTATTGCATAATGCAAACATTAGACAAATGAAATCTATTTCCAAAATCAGTGACATTTAAAAAATTTCCTTCATTGTCTAAAAAATGACAAACACTTTTAACACCATTTATATACCAAGTTTTTACAAAAATATTTTTGTTTCCCATTTTTATATTGGGATTGTACCACACAGGTAGGTTTAGATACTAATTTTTCATAATATGTGAATTGTTGTTGAGTGTTTTCATGAAATATAACCATAAATTAAACATATCTTTCCAAAAATTGTTGTTATTTTTTACAATAAAGCAAGACACAAACTCTTCACCAAAATCAAAAACCTTTATGCAATATGTCTTTACCATTTATTGCCAAAAAATATCTAACCATGGTTGATTGCTTTTTGTTAATCTTTTAATCGAGGAGCATTTGAGAGATGCAACAAAGTTATTTATATCCAATATTTGTAATCCTCCTTGTAGAAAATCTTGAGTAATAATTTTGATTTCCTTATATAAACTCAAAAATTTCTCTGTTCAATAGTGATAGAGTTTCTTTACTTTGATTTGGTAAAGATATAAAAAGATGGTTAAGTCTTGGTAAAACTAACGTATTCAAAACTGTAACTCTGCCAATAGGCGTAAGAATCCTTCTTTTCCATTGCTGAATTGACGCTTTCATCTTTGGTATTTGAACATTGTAGTTTATATCAATAATTTTATCTAGCTCTACTGAAAAATTAATTTCAAGTAAATTGGAAGTTGTACAACCCCTTTCAAGTTTCATGAGAGAATGATGGAAGACTTGATTAGAGAAATTTTTGTTAACCTATCCAAACAATTTTAGTTTTTGAGGTGTTAATTTTAAGTCCTGTAAACTTTGAGAAAAAATCAATTGTCTCGAATGCTGCAAAAAGTAATTTAGGTGAACCTTCAAGGGCAAGCCAGGTATCATCTGCATATAAGGATATTTTATGTTCTGTTTTGTTAATAACAATTCCTTTAATGCTTTGATTTTGTTTGATCATAATTGCAAGAATTTCTGCACAAAGAAGAAACAGATCTTCGGGATCTCCCAGACGACACCCTCTTTGGATATAAGACTGTTCGGATAAAAATCCACACTGAAGTACAGATGCGCAAAATTTTGTTTTTAGAATTTTTACCCATTCAATAATGTTTTTACCGAACCCAGAAAATTCTAATACTTTATACACAAAGGTTCAGGATATTGAAGCAAAAGCCTTTTCGAAGTCTATAAGTACAAGCAATCCCGGTGTATTTCTAGATTCAGTATAATCCATAAGATCCACCCTGGACAATATCATATCAAATACTCAACTTGAATTATTAAAAGGAAGATATATAGGTGAAAATAGGTGAAAATACCAGATTTCTTTATCCATAAGATCATAAAGAAATCTGGTCTTTTCACCTAAATATCTTCCTTTTAAAAATCCAAGTTGAGTATTTGATACGATATTGTCCAGGGTGGATCTTCTTCTATAACTAACACACCGAGATGAAAGTTTATAAAACACATTTAAAAGTGTAATAGGCCGCCAATTTTTCAAAAATTCTCTTGACTTATCACCTTTTGGTAAGCAGGTAATTAACCCTAATCTTTGAGAAATGGGGAGTTCTTTTCTCTGAAATATGTAATTTATGGCAAGTACTATAAAATGTTTTAAATCTGACCAAAAAAAAACTTAAAAATTCAGCTGTAAAGCCATCACTTCCTGGTGACTTATTGTTTTTCATGTTTTTTAACACCTCTAGGACATCATTTTCCAAATTTTTTCCCTGAAGTGTTTTGGCAACATGATTTTCAAGTTTTGGAACCTCAGTAACTGTTATAATTTCTGCAATATCGATGTCGAGAAGTTCTGCATCTACAGAAGTGTAAAGAGATTTGTAATACATCCTGATTTTATTTAAAATTTCTGACTGATTATAAATAGTGTCATTTTCCTCTATTTTAATCTTTCTGATAATCTAATTCAAATAATTACGGGATTCTAATTTACAAAAATATTGAGATGGCTTTTCTCCATCTTCAATCCATCTGGCTCGGGATCTTATTATATGACCTTGTAACCGTTCTTTTCTTAAATTCTCAAGATCTGTTTTTTTTCTCCTCTATTATATGTAGATTTGGTATATTCTCTGCCTCTAATTTTTCTATTTGTGCAATACATAAGGCTTCTTCTTTATTTTTTCTTTCTTTCTATATGATGATCATGAAATAGTAATGCCTCTAATCTCCATTACAAGGACTTCAAAAATGTACTGTTATCCATATTTTCTATAAGCACATTATTCTTTTCGTATTTGTTTCTAACAGACTTTATTGTTTCTTTCACTTTGATAACGTACACTGTACGCTATGTCTGTAACTAAAGATTTATTAAATTTCCAGACTCCTTTTCCTTTCTTAAAGGTATTGAATTTTATATCAATAACCAGTGATGAGTGGTCTGATCTATTCCCTGGTTTAATTGTTAAGTTTTCAACCAAGTTACACAAATTTTCAGAAATTAAAATATAATCTAAACGTCCTTGTTTTATTGGATTTTTCTTTCGCCATGTAAACATTTTTTAAATTTGGATTCAAAACACTAAAGTAATCAATTATTTGTAAATCATGAAATTTTTTTCTCTTGCCTTTGGATTGTTTTGTTACAATAATTTTCGGTATCTACTGAAGGGTCAAGAGCCAGATTAAAATCACCACATAATATAAACTAATCATTATCAAATTCTAAAAAAAAGTCTCTCTTACTAATTCATAAAACTCATAATTGTCAGAGTTTGGTTCATAGATATTAATTAAAGTAACTTTATTATCCTCGATTGTCATATCGAGAGCCAATAAATTACCATTATCGTCCTGTTTCTCCCTGTGAATCTGAAATTCAAAATTGTTATTAAAGAGAATGCATACCCCTCTTGAGTTTGACTTGTACGAATTAAAAATACATTTATATCCCCATTGTGATTCAACATAAGGTTCTATTTCTTTAGTAAAGTGAGTATCTCGAAAACAGAGAATTGAAAAACCTTTTTTCTTATAATAATTTAAAACATCTTGTCTCTTGGTACCTGTTGCCAAGCCTTGACAATTCACCGTTGCTAGTTTAATTGAGCAACTTATTTCGTTTGTAGTGGTTTAGAAAAAAGCAATAAAGAGACATCAAATAAAGTGTTAAGCACCATCTTTCCAAATAATGAAAACACATAATGATAAAAACAGGGGGACATGCACACACTCAACGACACACTTACACAAAAAGTAAACATGATCTGAATTAAGAATAACGAGCCCGATCTCACAGTCAGAATGTGTTAAAGCAAAGTCCGCTCCGCTGCATATTTCAATAATATATTTAGTGTCCTTTCAATTTTTCAGACGCGTTGTCAAAAATATCAAATCTGTGAGGATTTCCTTCTTCGTCTAGGGCAAACACTTTTCCATTATAATACCAAGCACTGTAAATTCGTGGATCACTGTTCAAGTCGTGCACCAGTTTAGCATTCATTTGTGTTAGGTGATCGTGCATGGTGAAGATCTTTTAAAGATTTTCGTCAGATCTGTTTTTGATTACCATGATCTTGATGTCGGTGTTTCGAAATTTTGCGATCACATGTACAGGTCGTGGTCCTCTTCCATCTCTTCCGGGAATCAGATGGATCGCCAAGACATCTACTTTAACTATTGTACGAGAGGTGTTCATCAATCCTGCAGACTTGTTGCATAGAAACACGTCTGTCGACATTAAAATAGGAAAGTGAACATATTATACATGCAAGGGAATCTTTGCTTTAGTAGCCAGCAATGTTCCATTTTCAAATATTGAAAATTGATATAAATTTAATGATCACTGAAGACCTAACATGAAATCACGGAGCAATTAGATTAAAATCTTCGACGACACAGGCATGTTAAAGATTGTGCTCACCAACTTGGAGATTATATAACTAATATTATCTTTCGACCGAGTGTTATACGAGGGCGGTTTCAAAATTACGCGGACTCTTGTATTATTTACTCTTACAGACGTCACATAATTATGAAATTTTACAGAAATATGTATCTTAAAGATTCCAAAAAATTTTGGGCAAAATTTCTGTATTTTAAAAAAATTCTCCTAAAATTATCGCTCTGTTGATATCGCTGAAAGAGAGGTATGGAGCACGACAAAAAATGAAAACAAAAACATGCGGAATCGAAAATTTAAGTCATTATCTTTCTATAATTCGCGATATTTTTCGACAATTTTCTCAAATGTATATTTATATTGTTCTATTATTATGTATTTAGATTTCTGACCTGTGTTTGAAGCACTAAAAGAAATATAGTGATTTTTCTACAATGCCAAACCATTCCGGTGCAAAAACCTGTGAAAATGACGTCTCCTGAATTGATGGAGCACCACACTTTTGTTAAATTTTGTGTAATGCTCGAGATATCGCCAACACAGATTCAAATATGCATAAAAACATGCAGTAAACTAGGGTATTCATGACGTTTGTCTACAAATGGCAAATTTAAATTTTAGACCGTTAGACTTCTGTAAAAAGGGTATACGGGAGGACAAAAAGGTTATCGACGAAAACTTTATCCGGACTGTTAAGAACGTGATTGAGAGTGATCCAATGTCACACTATATCTCATACATGTAAATACCTGGTTTTAAAACAAAAGAAAAGAATATATTTTACTTGTTTAATAGATTTTAAGCTTGATACAAAATGATGTATGGATGTTGTGAAGATAAAGTAAATCAAATTTTTTTTTTAAATGCCCGTAACGTCAAAGATTTCGCTGCTCCGTGACTTCATGATATGTCATGATAAATCAACCAACATCACCCAAAATTGATACCAATTTACAGCACTTTGATATGAAATTTTGAAGACATATGAGTAAAGATTTTTTTTTATTATGTGTGACATTTTGCCCGATTATGTCGCCAAATATTTTTTCTGTGCAACAAGTCCGCGTAATTTTTGAACGACCCTCGTATATATATATATATATATATATATATAAGATATCACATGATTTGTAATTGAATATGATTTATTTCCAACAAGTTTAAAATACGCGGTTTTGTATCCCCAAGCCTTGGTGAAGGGATAAAAATATACAACGAGTTGGATAAAAAAACATATCTAACTACAATTCACGTGAGATTCTTTTCATCCCATATTTTATACACCACTATCAATGTTTAACACTGTTTTCATATAGAACTTTACTTCATTTCACTTCATCACTCTAACACGAAACCCATTGTGACGTCACAACTTTGTGATACGAAAAAAATATAAATTGAGGATAGAATAAATTGCAAAAAACATTTAAAGAAATAGTTCTGCTATATAAACTTGAAATTTCTATTTCCTATATTCTACAGTCCCATAGAGGTTAAAGTGAAGCCCTTGATGAATTCCCCAATGTCTTTGCAAAGTTTTCTTTTTCAAAAGACCCGATATTTAAGCAATCTTTATTAAAGCAATTTTATTCATGATATTAAATATTATCATATATGGTCGACACTATGACCTTGTCTGAAAACTCAATTTATCATTATGCCAAATGCTGTCTGACGTTTTTCATATTATTGTTAGTCCATTATTTATACACTAATTTGACCCCGAATTTCCGCTAATTCCCGATCATGACAAAGTGCACACGGCGGGTTTGACCGGTGGGCAGTGCATGCTAACTCCTCCAAGGCACCTGATCCTAACTATGATTTTTGGAGGCCCTTGTTTGCTCTGCTCTTATTTTCTATTGCTTTATGGACTTTTGATCTTGAATTCTGTTTGTTATCTCCATACATTTCATTAATTTAGAATTGAAAAAAAAAATTAGACAATTTACCAACAGATCATATTTCAAGGAAAAAATTAATAAGGATTCGTCTTGCTAATAATTTTGTATCTCCTCCTTAATGCCTGAAAAGAATGCCTGCGTTTGTCTGCACTTTTACAAATGTGGTATAAAACCACTGCATGTCTGTAAAATGATTTTTTTTTCCTGTTCCAGATCTTCCTGTAGATTGTAAGGACCTTCACGAAAACGGTCAGACTAATTCCGATGTGTACCAGATTTATCCCTCTGGCAGAAGCTCTCCTCCTGTCAGAGTTTATTGTGATATGAATGTTATGGGCGGGGGATGGACGGTATGTATAGAATATCACTCTTGTTTGATCTCAGTCCAGGTATCAGCCCGACTGGTACTATGGTATGTATAGAATATCACTCTTGTTTGATCTCAGTTCAGGTATTAGCCCGAGCGGTTTGTTTTCGGATGGTTCTCAGAGGGTTTGGCCCGAGACCAACCGCTTAAACTGATACCTGGGCCGAGATAAAAACAGGTTTGATGCTGTTTACATGCTTTATCTGAAAACAAATCCAATCAAAGAACATTTTTGGTTAAATTATGTTGTTATGTTATAAGAAAATTTGAGTTATCTTTTTTATTGCGATGTTCCTGAAGATGTTGCATGACAAAGATAAATAATCATATAGAAAGAATCAGGATATGCCTGTTGTCTTGAAAAATTACATGTCGAAGCTTATCAGATAACAAAGATAAAAATTGTCCAAAACGTAAATAAAATCTTGTAGACTGCGTAACGCAGGGGGAGTCGCGGAGTAAGGAGTAGATCCTTACGTCTCAAGTTTGAATCCCACTGTGGGGGGTAGATACCGGTCCTTCGGATGAAACCTTATAAACTGAGGTCCCGTGTCGCAGAAGGTGCTGGCACGTAAAAGGTCCTTCAATGCTCAGTGCCCTTGCCGAGCATCGGAAAGTATGACTGAAAAATTCTTGAGAGGGACGTTATACAACAAACAAACAAACATAAAAGAAATATTCCACTTTCACTGCATCAAACCGAGCTTACATCTTCTTCAACAAATCGTTACGTATACAATTTGTAGGACTTAAATTTATTGAAACTGTTTGTTTTTCGTATGACATACATGTATATTAAATCAAAAATGACACATTAAACGAAAACTTAGTATTGTCTTACTGTCAAAAAAGCAACAAAAAAAAAACGTTCATTTCTTTTCAAAATACGATTTATTGCTGTCCTAAGTAAAGAGGAGTGCTTTGTCTCATGCCACAAGTGCTAATATTTGGCACACTTTTTAAAAACAATTCTTTAAACATTCTAGCATAAATAAATACTTTTTTTTTAAATTTCAAGGCAGAATTTTCAATACAAAATATATCTTTTTGATACTTAAATAAAAAAAAAGATAGCGCTTAGTCTAGCACAACAAGTTAACATAGAAAGTGACTATTCGTTTGCCAAGGGCTTAACATTAGATGCCTGCGTCGCGGTAGGGTTTTGCACGATTAAGAACTCTGACTGCAAAAAAAATGGCCCAAAGTGTTGAGTATGTTGAAAGAATCACTGTCTAGATAAAAGACTATGCCTGGGCATAAACGATAGTGTAAAAGATGGGATAATTTGTATCACGGACGAAGCCCGTTTTTCTAAAATTTTGCTAAAATGTTTCCCACTATCGTTGATGTCCCTGTCATAGTCTCCTAACTAGACAGTGATTCCTTATTTTTTTCATATTTACATGAAATTACAATCTTAAAATAAATCAAAATACCGTCTAATTTAGTACATTTGAAATGCATGAGGCATTCCATTGCTATTTCCATTGCTTCGCTTCATGACGTCAACCTTTACTAAAACAAAAAATAGTCCGATAAATTAAAATACAAAACAAATTAAATGATTATTTAGGTACTGTAGTCAAATGTAAACATTTATGAAATAAACAACAAAAGAATTTTAAATTATGATCAAAAGCAATCTTGTTATGTGACCTAGATTTAGGTTGTCGGCAGCGCGAACACGTGTATAGGTCCTAGGTCACTTCTCCGCCGCCATATTGAATGCAATGTTGTAGTTGATCAAATAAGCGTTGGTCAGGAAACCGATTTCTGTGGATATTAGATTAACAGCGGAAGTTGAGTTGCTTACGAAGTTGGATGGTAATGACTGAGGGACGATATTAGTATCAGTTGATACATATGTATGTGGCTGTACCGATTTCTCGACATGATTCAGATGGGCTGTTTACGGAGTTCTCAGCCTTTTAATTTGAAGATAATTTATTATTTCTTTTGTTTGAAAAAAAGACATATCTAATTTCTTAGTAAACAATTATACTTTTTTCCTCAGTGTATTTATACGCCACTCATACATGCAGGCTGACATTTGACCTTTCTGTATTATTTCAAAAGAGAAATATACATACCACATGTATTACCATGAAATTTACAAGATGGACATTTGTCGTGTTTATTATAGAGAAAACAATAGGAAATGGATATATTTCTGAATAAAATCTGTATATCCGGACACATAAGTGAACCAACAACTTGCAATGATCGTACAATAATCAATCTAACCAGTTTATTGATGAGAGTTATTTATTACCTTACATAAGTGTTGAATGAATTAAATTCAAAATCTTGGAATCATGAACATTCTGTTTATTACATACGATTTTGTTCCTCGTTCTTCAATAAAATGTATGAAATAGATGACAATGAAGCTGTAGAACTGTAGTTCCTTGTTCAGGAAAAAAAAAAGATCTGGACGACCAGAGAGCTGTTGGGCCACCGTTGAAAAAAAATCTCGATAAATGTATTTTCTTGCTAAATATTACATTTTTCCCAACGTATTATCATGCACGATACGCATTGGACCAAACTGTCTTGCTACTCACAAAGACAGTAGGAAAAGACGAAACTTTTGATGATCTCAACTTCAGGCAGAGGGGTACTGCTCTTTTCCAGGGCAAATTAATAACGTTTAGTTGTGTTCTTGCCGATTGAAATTTCAATGACGTATATTTAAAGATTGCTTTTACGTCATATTTCACAAAAAATACACTATTTTGTCTTACGAAAAACCAGTATTGCAGGTATTAAAACAGTCTACTAGGTTTGTGGGTTTTTTTTTCTTTTTTTCTTTCCGGAATAGATGGTGTTATAGCAATCATAAAATACCCGATTACATTTGAAGTACAGTAACGTGTAATTATATATTTTTAGGCAATCCAGAAACGATATGATGGATCCGTGGATTTTGACAGGACTTGGGCAGAATATAAGAATGGCTTTGGTGCACCAGAACATGAAGTGTGGATCGGTAATTTGACAATGGATTACGACGAATATAGGATTATGTTTTTTTTATTTGAAGAATTATCTTCGTAGTAATATAAATTTCAGAGACAACTTTAGCATCACGTCTTATTTTTCGTATTTTTTTAAGTTAAGACTAACTTAATTAAAAAGATATTTTTTTGTTACTTTGTATAAAGATAGGGCTTTTCTGAAAATTACATAATTTTAATCAATCGCGTTTCTTATAATATTATATCAGAGATTAAAATCAACAACCGGTTTATTTACCGACTAGGAATTCAAATATCAGACACGGTTTAAAGTTGTTCAACAGTAGAAACTCGGGAACAAAAAAGGGTGAAAATTTGACTTTGAACGTCGATAACAAGTATGATGTACAGCTACACTTAATCTCCAGACTTGTATATTTTTTTTAGATCATATATACGCCAAATCTATTTTTAATAGTAAGAGGTAGAAAACCATTTTCAAAAAGTCTTTCCACGAGGACAATGAACTGAAATAAATTACATCTTAAAAAAATGTCTACTGCGTTTTAAAAACATTGATCAACAATCATTATAAATAGAATAATCAGCAGAATCAATGATCAACAGAACACATTAGTCTTTTGAACCTTGATTAAGATATAATTGGAATTTAATTAAACACTGTCAATTTATCATTTTTTTTTGTACAGGAAATGATTTAATCTATCAACTAACAAAGGGACACAACTCCTACCTCTATGTCTCCATCACGATAGCGAATGGAAGTAAGCTGTATGAATTATACGATCGATTCTCTGTCGCCAGTGAAGCTGAAAAATACAGACTTTATCTCGCCGGACCTGCTACAGGAACCCTAGGTACTTGACTAATGGAGTTCCCTGCTTTTGAAATAAAACAAAATTGTAAAGATACCTAAAAGTTATAAAAGCAATCTGAATATAAAGTACGAATGACGAATAAGGTTCAATATAAATACAAAGTTCTTATGTTCTAATTCGTTTCACTCAAACGAACATAAATTATTTACAATCAAAACAAGAACACTTGTCTACATAGGAAATGGAAGCGCTTGCTTGCCAATATTTATTAGACGTATACATTTACAAAAACAAGTCTTCAATGGTACCGATTCTCTACCCTCCTTCTACAATATATCAAAAATATAATTAATCACACATAACAGTACAAAATGCATTTTAACACAATGCTTTTATATGTCCTCACTTCACTGATTAAAAACGTAATATAATGCATGTATGAACACAATTATGCTTCCCTCGCCGCCCAGGAAAAACCATAGATAAAAAACAACATCGATTTATGTTGAAAAAACTATGGAAACCTGTAAGTCCGCAGCAATTGCGAGGTAAACAAAATGAATGGCGGACTCATTCTCACAAACTTATGTACGTATCATATATTATAATGTACAATTAATCGACTAGTTTAAGTAAAACCTATGCAGAATGAATGTAAGTTAGAACTATCTGTAAACACATTTCGACTATATGTAGCTAATATGTACCCTTACACAACAATCTTACATTCATATCAAATTTTACATAAAATTATCTAGAGCGACTAAGCAAATTGTTTCCCATCTTTGACAATTAATCTGTTGTGTACAAAACTTTCAATTTTCTTGAAATGAAAACAATTACTTTCTTTATTAAACAAAATACTAGTAAAAGGTTGAAGTAAGTAAGAGGGTGGGTGGGTGGGTGTGAATGTCGCAAAGCAAAGCCTTCGAATGAGTTAAAATCGTGATTAAAGTGAATACCTGTTCACCCGTTCTACAGGTATCGACCTTTAAATACTGACCAATAGCTACTGTCGCTATTATTAGCACATAATAAACAAAAGCACGTGTTCCTAGTACATATGATAAATTAATTTATGTTCTAATTCGTTTCACTCAAACGAACATAAATTATTTACAATCAAAACAAGAACACTTGTCTACATAGGAAATGGAAGCGCTTGCTTGCCAATATTTCGAACATAAAGAAAGGGGGGCTCTGGTTTTTCTACAAGCCCAAGAAGCAGTTAAAAATTAATGTTCATTTATATAAGGAATCTTTGCTAAAAATTTTTGTAAATGTTGATCTTTATTGCATTTTCTTAATCATACGTGTGTTTAACAATTTCTGGTGGAAACTTTATTTATTTATTTATTTTTAAGTAAAACTAGATATGCAATCTTAACCTATATTTGTCCGAATAAATATAAAGCATTCAAAATGTTTATCCGATTCTTGTGTTGAATAAATATTTGGAACAATGATCCTTTTTAAACAAGCTTTTGCAACAAAGCAACCATAGTTTTGACGCTGATACTGGAAATAAAAAACTAGATCGTACTCACTTTTTTCAGGTCCCTTTTGTCTTTTCTATAAATGATAAAGAACAAGTATCATAAAATAACATCGAATCTCCAAACATTATTCGTTCAATTAACTCAAACATCCATCTTAAGCTATCAAACATAAGAAACTAAACAAATCATATCTTATATAGTGTTTTATATTATTGATATGGATTTCACCATTAGCAAGATTAAACGCATACATATATTTCTTTTATAAAAGTATAAGTCTTTAAGATTTCATTTTTCAGACATGACAGATGTTATCAGATGTAAATCATCATAATATGCGCTGTTAATACAGTTGTATTTTCCTTCAATTCACTTTATTGTCTATTAAAATTGACCGTTCAAAAACAAAAACATCAGTATATTCTTTTAAGTATATAGAACCATACAACTTATGTCTTATTCTTTTTGGGTATAGACTTTGATTGTACCATTTGCTAGATTGAACGCAAACATGTATTTCTCCTATACGTTTATGAATTTTAAATAAAAAACATCTTTACATTCCAAACAAAACTAATGACGATTGTTTATCTTAAGTAATCATCATAATTTTCGCCATAAAGCATTTTCCATCAATTTGCTTGCCGAACGTAAATAAGTTCTGAAAATCAATTAAAATTTGCAACAAGCCTTTTAGAATACATGTATATCAAATTTGTATAGCATAGTATCGCTGTAAATTATTGTTGGCTGCATCATTCTGTGCGCCAGAAATCATCATGATTACAACACTGACAACATACTATTCGACCAGACTTTAACAAGCTGCGACGTGCTACACACCAGAAAAATGTTTAGAACTACACTGGCTGCGTCAATACGCACCAGGACTTCCACTGGCTACAACATGCTATGCACCAGGACTTCTACCGGCTGCAACATGCTATGCACCAGGACTTCCACTGATTGCAACATGCTATGCACCAAGATTTCCACTGGCTACAACATGCTATGCACCAGGACTTCCACTGGCTGCAACATGCTATGCACCAGGACTTTCAATGGCTATAATGTGCTATGCACCAGGACTTCCACTGGATGCATGGTGCTGTACACCAGAAACACCCTGAAAACTCTACTTGCGTCACATACGCAGCAACATCAACTTACTAACTTCACTGGCTGCAACGTGCTATGCACCAAGAACATAATGATAAATCTACTAAATGAGGCATACTAAGCACCAGGATTACTATAAAGATCACTGTGCATTAAATGTATCTTATATACTGAATCTTCATGTGCAGTAAAACCAACACTTCATAACTGTGCAAAAATATAACTATTTTATAAACTTCTATTACAAAATACAATTAAGTACTGTTTTTCCATTATACTATATAAAAAAAAAAATTTTTACATGTAATTTTTTAACGACTTCTAGATCACTTTTCATTTTATATTCTGCGACAGTGTGCATGGATATTATTTTTATAACATTTTAAATTTCTTAAGCCTTTAGAGCGGCATTTCCATGTACATCTGATTTTCTAATTTTAAAGGAAGCAGTATTATATATAACACAGATAAAGTAAAATCAAAACCGTTCAATGTTCAATGTAGATACAAATACAGGGTCTTGAGCCTTTAGAGCGGCATTTCCATGTACATCCGATTTTCTAATTTTTATCGAAGCAGTATCATATATAACACAGATAAAATATAATCACAACCGTTCAATGTTCAATATAGATTCAAATACAGGGATATAAAAAAACGTCCCTCATTCAAAATTTATAAATCATTACGATTATTTCAAAATAAAACCTAAAATAATAATAGTTAAGATATTCCTATTTAAGACGTTCTGGTATTCCCAAAAAACAAAATTATATATACAATTTTATGCTTGTATGTTCTTGAAAACTTAGACTGCTATCTATACACTGAATCAAAAAGCTCCTCGACACGTAACAACTTCAACCGACGTGTACTTGTTTTCAAATATCGCATGTCTTTTGAAAACAAACTGCAAATTTAATTTTTATTTGCGTCGTAGTGCTGATGAGTGAAATCTAGTTTGTTCAAGTCGTGTCCAAAACAATATGATATGGCTAATCATAAATATCAAAACGTTCACAGTTGAATCAAAATTTGACCGTGAAACCTGAACACAATCAATCGTATTCCATATAACTTCATTATAATATTTTACTGAAATATATAGTATACTCGGATATTTATCATTAGACCAGAAAAGAAAGTCAACAATATTAAATAACATTTCTTAACTGTTTGAAAGCTTTTTAAAGATAAAATTAATCCAGAGCTTTTCCCTTCTATCTTTCATTTAATAACGAGAAAATGAAATGATTTCATTTACAAGCAGTAGGCTTTTGTATTTTTGATTGATAGTATTTAAAATACATCTATCTTATATCTAGAGGTTTTATCTAGAGTTTGTTGTTTTCCATGTGAAGCAGAGTGTGTTGCGAAGAGAATCTGTAAAAATTAAGCTGAATTATAATCTCCCGACCTAATTTAACTTAGTTGTGAAATCAAGTCCAAATCAGTCTTTAAGGGTTTGTTAAATAAGCATACATGTACATATGTACAAATACATTCATACAGTATATCGAAGCCTGCTGTAGATTCTAGCTACTCTCTCATAATCATAAGCGAAATCCTTTATCGAAGTGGTACATGTATTCTGTGTGTTTAAATGAATGTCATACTGCTCTATAAACAATTAAAAAATGATTTGTATATTCTACATCATCATGATACTGATTGTATAATTATTATGCTGACTGTTAAAAAGAAAAAATACCAGCGCTATGCTTTACTGTTTACAAGTTATAAATTTATATTTTATACAATAAAATGTATGTCTTACGTAATAAAGTGAATTGAATTCAATTGTATTCAAAACGTTTTCATTATAGATAACTTAAGTATTATCGAAAATACTTATCTTTTACTTCAATGACCATTATATACTCTCTGCTTATGGATGTAAAATCTGTTGAACTGTTCAGGCGATTCTGGACCTTTGTCTTCCGATGAGCTGTGGAAAATTCTAAGAAGATAGACATAGGTGAAATAACTTATCGAAAAGGTATCTTGTCTGTGTTTACTTTCATTATGTACTTTTATTTTTACAATAATAAACGGGGGAAAAATTAATACCGCGTTCTTGAACTTGAACCTTAATTATCACCAAAAACTGAAAACATTATTTTTAAAACTTATCTTCTGCTTAAATGGCCCTTTGTTACTCTGTTTATGACTGTGAAATCTCCTTTGACTGTTGATGTAAAGAATGCTGGACTTCTCGTCTTTTGTTGAGCCGTGAAAATCATTACTTCAGGTATACATGTACGTATCTAAGATTTGAGGATTCTCGGTCTGCATGCGCTATTCTGGATACTTCACCACGAGAACTGTGTTTAATGAACCGTCTCTGTATTTTCGATGGTAAACTGAATGTTTGAAGAGAATAGCTGTCTTTGTCGAATGCAATGCCATATAAAATTTGTAGACTGGTTGTAGAATCGACTTTCAAACGGGGATGGGCCTGTCTCCTTACAATTTTTGTCATTAGGAAGTATACGTCTGAATGTCGCAAAGCAAAACCTTCGAATGAGTTAAAATCGTGATTAAAGTGAATACCTGTTCACCCGTTCTACAGGTATCGACCTTTAAATACTGACCAATAGCTACTGTCGCTATTATTAGCACATAATAAACAAAAGCACGTGTTCCTAGTACATATGATAAATTAATTTGTTTTCTTCAATTCTATAGGTGACAGTATGTTAAATACTGGTAATCCGGGCCGTGACCTTTCTGAGATGTACTTCACGACCTCTGATAGGGACAATGACAGATATGAGGCGGCAAACTGTGCTGTTCACACTGGAGGTGGGGGGTGGTGGTTCAACTCCTGTCACTTAGCATTCCTGAACGTTCGCTGGTCTGTGTCAGGCGGCCCATATCTCTGGAATCCATCGGTCAGATATTCCAGCTACGCAAGTGCAACAATGATGCTGATCAAACGCCACTAGGTACATCATTTCTTAAATTAAAATATTTACCTTTTAACCAAGATGAAATACAGTAAATAAGATATATAAATATTTCGTTTTATATATTCAAAGACAAGGGGTTTAGATACTTTTCTGAGATATGTGTCTTTATACATGTATTTGTTTTACTTCTTTTTGTGTTTCTTATTTTTTGTGATTTGATTTACCTTGCAGATGAAGATATTAGAAATTGGTAAACCCCCAGATTGAGAATGCAGTAGATGTTTTAAAGCACATCTTGATGAAGCGAGTCAGATACAGAGACAATTTTCATATGATTAATCTTCGTATTATTTTTGATGTAATTTCTTATTGGATTTTTTTTAAGACAAAAGAGGCTCGACGACGTGTAAGACAAAAATGTTTACCATTAGCTAAAAACTCATTTATATATTCATTACCTTATTTATGCAATTTGTCGACTGAAAGTTCTAAAGTATAGAGGATAAGGGCATACGCTTAATTATGTACTAGTATTTATTAAATGAATTTAACGAGGCCAAATCTACTTGATCTGTATATATGTTTTTCTTATTTCTTCTATTCGTGTTTGTTTTTCTTCAATTTCATTTATTGACTGTTCTGTTAAATTTTGTTCCAATTCAAATATTTCTTTTTCTAATTGTTTTTCTCTTTCATTTGTTTCCTTCTTTTTGTAAGTGGAATAGGAGATTGACTTTCCTCTTATTTCCATTAGTAAAATATCAAGGAAAAGTTGATCACTAATAGTAAATTGAAAATCATCATTATCTAGACAGCTTAGTCTTTCCATACTGTAAACAGGGCAGACATACTAAACGTTGACCTCTTCAATCTTACATTTTATCTTTTTAACAAATTCCTTATCAGTTAGTAAAGAGTTATTAAATTTCCAGAATCCTCTTCCTTTTATGAACTCATTTAATTTACAACTAAACACCACTGGTGAGTGATCAGAACGATAACTGTTCTCGTAAATTACACAAGGAGTCATAGTGAACAAAGATTCTGATATTAAGAAAAAGTCAAGCCTAGCTTGTTTAATTGGGTTTTTTCGTCTCCATGTAAATCTTTAAGTTTGGGTTATTTTCACGATATACATCCTTTAGGTTTAAAGCATCCATAAGTTTTAAAACTTCAAGTCGTGATTTTGGATTGTTTAAATTTTTGTAGTTCATTGAATCTAACACTTTATCAAAAATTAAATTAAAGTCAACTGCAATAACAATGTGTTGAGAACAATTTATCTCTTCTATTTTATTAAGTAAACTTAAAAAAAATTGGGACTATAACAATTTGGACTGTATATATTTATCAGTAAAAAAGGTAAGTCTTCAATGAGAACATCTAAAGTAAGATAACTTCCCTCAATATCCTTAAACTCGTTGCATATTTTTACTTCACAATTATCATCAAATAAGATAGAAACTCCTCTTGAATTAGATTTAAAAGAACTTTAAAAAAAGCTTTACATCTCCACTGTGTTCTTATCATGTTCTCATCTTTTTCTACAAAATGTATATCTTGAAGAAAATAAACATTATATTTCTTAGCTTTTAGATTTTTGAAAACATCACTTCTTTTATCTATATCCCCCAGGCCTTGGCAGTTTACTGTCAGAATTTTTGTTATTTTCCCTATGTTCCATAAATGTCTATGTGATGATAGGAATAATGCTGACCCCCAGTTGTCAAAAACAAATATATGGGGAAAAAAAGTTGAAAAAGGTTGGAAAAAAAATACACACAAAAAAAAATAATGGAACTGTCCAAAAAGACATGTCTCTTGTTGCTGATTACTTTGAGGGAAAAATTTTGCCAAACACTTTTTTAAGTTATGATAATAACTTCGCAATAAGCACATTTCTAGAAATTGAAGATGCTAACGGATTGTAGAGAATACTATGCACAAAGACTTTTCTATTTAACAAAGATAAAGCATAGAAAGTTATGATTAAAGTTTAATAACTTGAACAATAACAGAGAAAACTCTGGTTTCAAACAAATCACAACTTGACGATTTTGTATCAATTAGGTATTGTATAGTTTTTTGATATTATGGAGACTATGTGCATAGATCCCCCCATTGTAATGTGGTATTTAAGTCAAAGATTATATATTCACATATTATGTTAACACCAGGCAATATTTGAAATAAAAAGAAAATTATTGTTTACCAGATGCGAAAAACAAAACAGGAAATACTTTGTAGTAAAATTATAGCATTTTACTATAGATAAGTATCGCCTACCTTAGCATAAGGTGACGACGGGCACCCAGGTTTACATGGTAGGTAAACACAGGTACATGCAACAAATATAACAAACAGGAAAACGTGGTGAAAGGGTTGACTGGTAATTCTCGACTGAGGTAGGAAACGTGCCGGCACGGGTGGATGGCTATGAGGTCAGGGTGAAAGGACATAGTGGACATATTTACATATACAATTTCACGACATTCCTCCCCGTTTTATTTAATAAAGCTAGGGGCAATTACTGTAATTTATTCAGAGGAATGTAAACCAGAAATATATAATTATTATTTATTATTATACCTCATTATACATATTCTACACAACACACTATCTGATTGGTTCTAGTTTATCACGTGATCGGGCCGTAAAACTTCATATTTCCCGGCCGTCGGCACGCTTTTCATCATATTCCACCTCTTCGGAACACCTAGTGTATTTTCCCGCAATATAGTTCCTGCTAGGTGAACAAAAACTTCCGAGAGAAGTAGACGTCACAATAGCTTGGTTTACGTCACAAAAGTGATGATAATGTGTTGAACAAAAGGTTTTATAGAAACTTTCACTGCATGAAAAGTCGGGTTTACTTTTACCTTAAATGCAATTTAAATGCTGCGATTATTTAATGTTTAAATGCATAGTATCACATATTGTGGGATCGTAAACCTTAGAAAATAATAAGCATTTAATACGAGTTTAATGGAAAATTAAAAGAACAAATTTAATAAAGTTTGGAAAATTGTAAACTTACTTATACGTTCGGATTTAAGTCTCCCATAAACAAATATTATACCTCGAGTATACAAAACGTACAACTATTATTAAACATGCCCATAAAATAAACGTTTTATGGTTATATTAAATTTGATCGTTTAATAAAATTTAATCTAGAACTTATCCTCATTATTTTTTTGTTAAATTCACACTTTACTTTATAATACTTCCAAAAATTAAGCTATATACGGAGAATTGTAAACTTACTAATACGTTCAAATTTTAATATTTCATAAACTAATATTAAATATTTTGTATATGTGATGAAATATATGGATTAAACCTTCCCATATCATTAAAATTTATGGTTGTATTAGATGAAATTTAATATAATTATATTATTGCTAATTTTTTTTTATTTAATACTTATTCCATCATTATTTCGTATGGTTTATAATTGTGTTTTTCGCAAGTATTTTACAATACACAAATCCACTTCTCGTTCAATTTTATTTTATGTTATTTGTGTACAAACAATGAGTTCTAACAAAGTATAAGATATTTCAAAATTAATGCCTAAATGTCAGCATTTAAAAAAATTACAATCATAAATGTAGCTCAATTATAATGGAGCAAATTTTTGCATAATAGTAGTAGGTACTAAATAATACTTTAGTAAGTTAAATAATTTTGTATTTTACAAAACACTTAATATGGAATTAAAATTTTATTAATTTAAGATACCCTGACAAGAATGGGTTATCATGTCCAAACAAATCAATAACAAAATAATTATAAAAATAGAATTGTATGTAAAATTTAAATCTGCAATAAATCAGAACACAACAGGTAAAAAAAATGCAGTCATTTTTGACTCCAAAAGACTGCAAAACTTGTGACCGAAACTACCCCTATTGAAATTGCTGCATGGGTTGTAAATGGTTTTTCAATTTCCCACAAAAAATCGTATCAAACTTTGCACAGAAGAATAAAAGTTGGCAATAAAAAATGCCCATTAAAAATGCCCATTCTTTTTACATGTACATCTATTAAGACACACTAAGCCACTGACAGAGAAGCCTCACTCGCCCACAAGCAAGAGCAAAAGGATCGGTCAGAGACGCCACCTTTCTCTTACATGGGTATCAAGATCTGCAACTTACTGCCAGCAAAGCTTTTTCAGACAACCCTTATATTGCTTCCCGAGTATTTCCACAATAGATGTCCATGCACTAATTATCAACTTGTAAAAACATGGCAATAAATCAGAGATTAAAAGTGTATGTACATGTGTGCGACACAATAAGCCAGTCGATCTGGTATCAATAAAAATATGAAAGCTTTTAAATCTTTAACCAAGTACAGTAAATACTTTATGTTGACTGTGTAAAATACAACACCAAAAAATTTTTTTTATATCATTTGGTTATGTCAATTCAAATTAAAGAAAAAGCATCACAATTACACAAAATAGTAACAGCTGATAATTGGTCTCTAATACCCCATATTTGTTCCAACTGCTAGGTTTATTGCTTGATGATTATAACTTTAACATATCCTCATTTTACATTGGAATGCAAGACATTTTGATAGTGATATTTTTTTCAGTCATTAATCTTCTACACTTTGCCTCAAAATTTCAAGAATGAGCATGTACATATAAAATTTCCTGTAGAAACATATGTACAAGTATATTTAACAATTTTTTTAGCCTTAATTACAATTTAATCTTAATGCAAAAAATTCTAGTCATAAACTCTTTTACTTCATATGGAAAGAAACAAATTAATATTTTACTCTTTCAATTCTCATTACTCTTGCAATATTATATTTATTAAGATCACAATTCACCCTTTTTTACTCAGAAATGTCTCTACCTCATCTGCTTAGTCTACTTTTTACATCTATGACACACTAAGCCACTGACAGAGAAGCCTCACTTGCCCACAAGCAAGAGCAAAAGGATCGGTCTGAGACACCACCTTTCTCTTACTTGGGTATCAAGATCTGCCACTTACTGCCAGCAAAGCTCTTTAAGACTACCCTTGATTGTCTTATTTTTTTCCACAATAGATGTCCATGCACTTATTATTAAGTCAAACTTGTATATATATGTATTTCATAAATCAAGATTAAAATATATGTGATTGCATACTACACGATAAACCAATCAATGTTTAAACAATAAAAAATATAACAGTTTTAATCTGTAATGAAGTATCAGAAAAAGCTTTAACTGTCAAAAATACAACACAAGGTATATTTTTCTTATCTAACATTGAATGTGTCAATTAAAGTTAAGTTAAAAAAAACATCACATTTGCGCAAAACAGTAACAACTTAAGATGTTTGATCTCTAATAGCCCATTTCTGTTCAATTGCTACATCATTAGGTTTGACTCTGTTAGATTCTTTATTTGTCCTAGTTCTTCTTATGCTCTGCCTTTTAGAGTGTTTTGATTTGAGAGTGGCACTTTTGGTGTCCTGTTCTTTACGGACTTTTTCACATTCATCAGAATGGCACTTCAGTTTTCTAATTTCATAGATAGTATCATCTTTCGAATCATTTTTTGTACTATGAAGACGTAATCAATATTTAAAACTGCTTCTACTTGCTTTTTCTTCTCTTCATCCCAAGAAATTTTCAGCTCTGGAGAAGCACATGTAGCTCCTAATTTCTACAACAAATATGCAAATAAATACCCATTTGCCTATATATACATATTGTATGTGTGCTTCTGGATTTATGTATATATTAACTAGTACACAAAGTCTAGGTTGATTGTAAACTTATCAATTGACCTAGAGGAAACACTGCTCAATTTTGATTAATTATTGACAACTGACATATTTTTGAACCTATCTAGATTTTAAAAGAAAGTGCATATGGCGGTCTATTTAATATTACATGTATGGGGTGATGTGTTTACATTTGTGTGTGATTACATTGATTGCAATGTAGTTCTAAAAAGGAACAATTGTATGACAAAGAAAGGGGTTTGTGAGTTTTATTCCATATAATGTTTCTTTATTCCAGGTGGTTCTCTTAACATCAGAACTTTGACATTAACAGAAGACCATAAAAGATATGCCACTTTTTCAAGTCTGGGTAATAAAATATTTATCTATAATTTCAGACCAGGGAGCTACAAATTTTGAGACTAGTGTTGGTGTACATGTAAATTGGAGACTAATGACTTTTTCCCTATCTTTTTTTGGAGCATTTTACCACTATGTTTACCTGCTTGACCTTGAACATGTTGAGGTGCCCTTTTCTCTGTTCCTTCACAATAATTCTTTCATTTAGGGGCAAGATACTATGGATATGGTAAAAAGCTGTAAGAAACAAAACATGAAAAATTAATAACAGGTATGGCTCTCCATAGAAAGAGTATACAAAAAAGGAGAAAAGATATACAAACAGGGTGTACTTATAACTAAAGCAAGTAGTTAACATTTTACACAATGATAAAATTCTCTGTGTCATCTAGTTCAGAGAATTACATAAAAAAAACTTATAATTATATGTATAGATCAATTTATAGACAACAAAATATGATACGAAACATACATAATGGTACCGTAATCCGAGCACATGGAATTCGAAGATTTACAAAATTTATGAAAATGCAAATAATAGCATTTACAGCATTTAACATATTAAGACATCTATAGTTTCAGACCAGCAAGCTACAGATTTTGTGGATGTACATGTAAATTGGGGACTAGTAACTTTTTGCCATCTTTTTTTTTGAGCATTTTACCACTGTGTTTACCTGCTTGACCTTGAACATGTTGAGGTGCCCTTTTCTCCGTGTTCCTCCACAATCTTTTATTTCATTTAGCAGAAAGATACTATGGATAAAAAAAAATATGAAAAATCAATAACAGGTATGGCATTTCATAGAAAAAATATACAAACAGATGTATTTATGATTAGAGCAGGTAGATAACATTCATACAATAATAAAATCCTTAAACTTTTGTGATCTAGTTCAGCGAATTATTTCAAAAACATATGATAATATGTATAGGATCAAATTTAGAGACGAAAAAACATGATACAAAACGGATGTACATAATGGCGCACCATACTCGGAACACATAGAATTTAAGAGTTTACGAAAATACGAAAATGCAAAGGTTAGCATCTACAGCATTTAACATGCAAGTTATTGGGATAATGAGCAAGTGATTTAACATAAAATAAAATATACTAACAACTTACACTGTAGATAGCTGGGGTTTAAAGTGGACAGGAAATTCAAAGTTCCAGTAAATGGTGGCAATCTCATACACAATAAGTCGTACAACAAATGATTAGTTCGTATCTCAAACTGGGTAGCCAAATATCAGGTCATGTCACTTTAAGAAGGAAGGCTCAGCAAGTTCGATGTTGTCAGATCATTCCCATAGATACTTCAAACATTTCTGGCACAATTTCTGAAAGAAAAGTTGTATTTTGAAGGTGTTTTTTTTTTCAAATTAGGATTAATTCTGATGAATGTAAAAATTTGAAAAGTTTACAGATGACAGACGAATACCAGACACTGATCAGAAAACTCTATTGGGTCTTAAAATAGCTCAGGTGAGCTAACAAAAATTCAATTCATGTGATTTTATTGATCTTATCAGAAAACTTAAGAAATATTACCTTTGTGTTAATTTTCATACTGGTTTTGTCCTTCTTGTGAGTATTCGGATTCCTGTAAATAATGCATGTATAATTGTGCATCATAGAATATGATAGTATTTTCAATAATTTATGCTTATTAAGTATTTAATGTAGAATAATTATGCATAGCTCTGTGCAATTTATAGCATGTTTAGATTACCTATCAGAATCCATTGCTATTGTATTTTTAGGATTAAGGAAATTAAGAATATAAACCTCGTCTTGTTTACTTGGTAAATAGTAGTTCAAGTTGTTGCAATATTTTTTATAGTCTTATGCTAAAATATACAAGTTACTAAAAAACAATGCTAGGTTATATGTGTTATATGAAAATTTGAGCTGCATGGTTCTCACCATTTTCACAAGCTGACTATATACGCAGGCGCTGTGGGGAATCGTCTCAGGCACAGTCCACTGCAACTATTAAATGATCAAAATAAGTGCTGAATATCATCTTGAACATGCATTAAAAAGTAAATATTTTTTTTTTTTACATTGTACAACATACTTTGTAAATGCTGAACAGAGGAACACTAAAATTCCTGAACCAATCCCAAACGAGGAAATTCTGGTTAAAATCCATCTTTATGAGAGATGTTTAAAAGTGTTAAATAATTATTGCAAAATTTAAATAGCGCTTGCCCAAACGTTTTTACGGTCAGGCATTTTATGTGTAGTGCCCAGACTAAGGAACAGTAACATTGTCAGTAGCAGAAGTAATTATTCATTCAAGGACACATGATAAAATTTTGTACATTGTTCCTACCGCAGTACAGGGTCGTAAAATGTCTTCATCTTCTGTCAAAACAGAAATTCCATCCAAAGCTAATCATGCTTCTCCTTTTCGCGACACTCTCTTTCGCACTTTCCCTCTGTACAACATCATGATCAAGTTCAACATGGCTGCGTGGAACCCCCAAAAAATTGAATTTCGGCGCGGCGTGTTGTTTAAATTAATTGCTTTTCGAGCCCGACTTCGATCCCAATGTAATTGTACTACAGTATTAGTCGACAGTTTTAGTGAAAAAATATCTATTCCACTGTTTTGAAAATCTACATTAGGGTTAAATAATTAAAAATGAATAAATGAATAATTAAAAATTAAAATAATTTTTTTTTTAAATGTTTCAACATAAGTTTACGTAGCAACATTGACGGTTCATTAATGTCGGGCCAACATTACAACGTCGGAAGTTTTAATGTAAATGATTTTGTTATTTTGCAATAATAAAACTGTAAACAATCTTTTATTTTGATTAAAATAAAGAATTAATATTTATGTCATATTTAAAATACCAAAAACATACTTAAACTTTAAGTTAAAGCATATTTACTTTTACAGGTCGATATTCTTAAACAAAACGTATAATCTTCTCTATTAAACTATATTATTCTCGACGTATTTTGCATTAAATATAATTATACTTATTTGAAAACTGTAGTTAATTATATCACAATATATTTCATGTAAAATGTACCGTTATACATTAATTAAATTCAATACAAGAAATTTAATGGAGTAAACGAATATATTAAATTATATTAAACGCGACTTTTCATGCAGTGTTTACGTAAAAAATGAAAATGAATTTGAGAGAGGTGCCGAATTTGAAAGTTTGTTTATTTCAAAGGTTTTGCTTGTTTCGGTATAATAAACAATTCATTGCATGAATGTTCGGGAAACATGAAGACGAAGCCCTCGGGGAATATGATTTTTCTTGGCTGAATAAGTCTTCATATTTCCCTCACTATCATGCAATAAATGTATAATATGACATGGAAAACGCATGAACTAATACATGTATCCCCATGAACTTGGCCGGAATTACTTTTAGCGCCTTAGTTCTGCAGGATAAACATGTAAATATGTGGCACGATTGAGTATGGTTCAATGATTTGCGAATTAAATCCGCATGCATCTTCCACACTGGATCAAATGATTATATTAATTTTGCCATACATATTCCATGTTGTCTGTTATACATTTCCTATATTTTAATACTTAATTCATAGTCAAAAGGAATCTACCTATGACCTAACACTGACCTATACTTCCATGAGAGTCCTGTAACTGAATGGTTTCATGACAAATGGTTTTAGTCAAGTGAAGTTCAGTTGTACCAGTATAACTTAATCATGTATACAACTAATTTACCTAATTATATTGTGCCGATGTGCAGTATACGTTAGGACTTTACAACAGATAAATCAACTAAACTGTTGTGATGTATTCTAATGATTAACTTAATATATATTACGATTATCTTTTTCTGAATGTCGTACGTCACCTTAAATACGTCGATGCCAAGTACTACCTAACCTAAGAACTAAACTAACTGAAGAAATACTTGTTACGTTTCCTTATTTGCTGACTATTGATAGAAGATCCTTTAAAATATTACAACATGTACTGAAAACATATTTACAAAACACATTCCGCATCAGTACCGTCACTGTCTAAAATATTAGTAAGCCAGGCATGATACAGACAATGTATAACATATAACTATATACAAAGCAATCCCCCCAATACCGTTACTGAGAAAGGTCAGCCAAGTATATAAACGGAAAGCATAAGGCTATTTACATAGAGCAATCCGACCAATACCGTCACTGAGAATGGTCAGCCGGGTATATAACGGAACGCATTGCTTATATACATGAGACGATCCGACATGATATACCGTCACTGATATCAGTCAGGTATATCTGTGTGAAAATTAGCGACATCAATCAACCAAACTTGTAAGAGATTTATTAGGACCCGACACTCCAAACCACACTTTAAGTAGATATGTTTTTGCATAGAGCAGATTAATATCTGATTTGAATTATGCAAGTAGTTGTAGAGTGTTTCGACTATTAAGAAGCCTCATCAGGGGTCACGGACATAAATCATGGTGTTTGTTTTAGGTGAGACCGGATTATCTCGTCACCTATATTCTTGTGTTTGCTGTAAGCAATGATTGGTTGAGAATTAAATAAAGTTTTGCATTCTGGATTTCTAAGAATGGTGTTCCAATATTTTAGAATTCGTTTTTTCAGTCCTTTAACGCAAGGGTTAAATTTAGTAACCAGTACTGTAGGGTTACGTAATGACTGTTCTTTAGTCTTTTTGATGATGAGTTTTGATCGGTTTGTGTTGACCGTTTCCTTGATAATAGGATCAATTTCCGAAGTAGAGTAGCCTCGCTTTGATAAGTGCGTCTTGAAGTCATTAAGTGTTGCATGTAATATTTCAGGGTCAGTGGTGTTTCTTGCATGTCTAATGCATTCTCCTTTAATGAATCCTTTAAACACAGCTGGGCTATGAGCGCTCTGTCTGTGTAGATACTGAAAATTATTTGTTGGTTTGATAAACGACTTGATATCAAGTTTGTTAAAATTTTGAAATTTCTGTCCTTTATAAATTGTAGTATCAAGGAAGTTAACAGCAGATGGAGAAATTTCAAATGTAAATCTGAGATGCTTGTGACAGTGATTGCCGATATTAAAGAATTCTTCTATCTTTGGTTGCGTTCCATTGAATATTATGAAACCGTCATCACGGTATCTGCCGTGGAAGACAATTTTGCTGGCATGACGAAATTGTGCCATTATTTGCTTTGTGATTTGATACATTCTGATGTCACAGATCTCTGGACTGGGGACTGCCCCCATACTTGCTCCTATTATTTGTTTGTAATATTTTCCGTCGAATTCAAAGTAATTGTTTTCCAAGACGCATTTCAGTAAGAAGTTTAGATCCTCAGGGTCCGGATATGGAATGTCTAATTGCGTTTTATTGGCCTGTGTGTAAGCCTCATTTACTGATGAGAGAAGTTCGTTGAATTCCATGTTTGTGTACATGCTCGTCACATCATAAGTAATTAATAATGCGTTTGTTGGCAATGTGAGGCGTTCGATTTTGGTGATAAAGTCCGTAGTGTCTTTGATATAAGTTGATTGTTTTTGTACAATGGGTACAAGAAAGTAATCGCAATATTGTCCTATTTTCCTCGTTGGCGTATCGCATTGCGAGATAATTGGTCTACCAGGTGGTAATTTCCTAATGCTGCACTGACCGTTTATTAGAGCATTGTAAATGTTTGCTGGTATTTTGTGGGTTTTCGGTAAGAGGTACAAATGCCCACATTTGAGTGAAGGTTTTTTGTCATTAAGAAATTTGTAAGTTTCTTTGTCCAGTGACCCATTTGAATGCATTGCGGCAAGTTTATTTTGAATGTTTTCATGCAGTTTGAGCATGTTGGGTTCAGATACTTGCATATAGTGTTTAGATTGCAGTTGGCTTTGTGCTTCTAAGACATACTGGTCTTTGCTCATGATGACAATTGTGTTGCTTTTATCTGCTTTTTTAATAACAATGTTGTTGTTATTTTCAAGAGATAAAATAGCTTCTCTTTCAGCATTTGAGATGTTTGATCTCTTTTTTGCAATTTCCAAAGAGGAAAGTTCCAATTTTGTTTTATCTATATATTCCTCGAGTTCGCTGCATGTAAATGGCGGTTTGTAGCCAGATTTTGTTTTAAAGGGGTGAATGGCATTGTCGTCTCCGGTATCAAAGTGGAATTTGCATCTGAGTTTCCTGGCAAATTCTTCAAAATCTTTGAGCAGCAGGCTTTTAGCATTGTCGCTTTTAGGCGTTGGAATAAATTTTAAGCCTTTGCTTAGAACTGAGAGTTCATGTTGGGATAAGTTGTATCTTGATAGATTTAGAACAAACTTTCCCCCTGTGGCCGTAGTTTCCTTGCAGTGAGCTTTAACTCCCCGTAAATAATTACGAGTGCGTTTAGCATTTTTGCATTGTTTACTCCGTCTATTTATTCGTCGAGCCATTCAAATAGAGGAGCAGTAGGTGGTAAATATATTGTATATAGCGAGGTGCTATAGATCAACAATGAGTATTTCGATGAGATTATGAATCCGTCTAATTATCAATAAGTGTTGATAGATTAGAGGATAAGAAGAGTATGTGAAGGCCTCACATTGCCAACAAACGCATTATTAATTACTTATGATGTGACGAGCATGTACACAAACATGGAATTCAACGAACTTCTCTCACCAGTAAATGAGGCTTACACACAGGCCAATAAAACGCAATTAGACATTCCATATCCGGACCCTGAGGATCTAAACTTCTTACTGAAATGCGTCTTGGAAAACAATTACTTTGAATTCGACGGAAAATATTACAAACAAATAATAGGAGCAAGTATGGGGGCAGTCCCCAGTCCAGAGATCTGTGACATCAGAATGTATCATATCACAAAGCATATAATGGCACAATTTCGTCATGCCAGCAAAATTGTCTTCCACGGCAGATACCGTGATGACGGTTTCATAATATTCAATGGAACGCAACCAGAGATAGAAGAATTCTTTAATATCGGCAATCACTGTCACAAGCATCTCAGATTTACATTTGAAATTTCTCCATCTGCTGTCAACTTCCTTGATACTACAATTTATAAAGGACAGGAATTTCAAAATTTTAACAAACTTGATATCAAGTCGTTTATCAAACCAACAAATAATTTTCAGAATCTACACAGACAGAGCGCTCATAGCCCAGCTGTGTTTAAAGGATTCATTAAAGGAGAATGCATTAGACATGCAAGAAACACCTCTGACCCTGAAATATTACATGCAACACTTAATGACTTCAAGACGCACTTATCAAAGCGAGGCTACTCTACTTCGGAAATTGATCCTATTATCAAGGAAACGGTCAACACAAACCGATCAAAACTCATCATCAAAAAGACTAAAGAACAGTCATTACGTAACCCTACAGTACTGGTTACTAAATTTAACCCTTGCGTTAAAGGACTGAAAAAACGAATTCTAAAATATTGGAACACCATTCTTAGAAATCCAGAATGCAAAACTTTATTTAATTCTCAACCAATCATTGCTTACAGCAAACACAAGAATATAGGTGACGAGATAATCCGGTCTCACCTAAAACAAACACCATGATTTATGTCCGTGACCCCTGATGAGGCTTCTTAA